GAGAGGAAGCGAGGCCAGGTGGAAAGGTGGATGCATCTCTTGAACTTGGAAAGATTTCCATGAGAGGAGCTTCCCTGAGGGACGTGGAGTTCCATTTGGTTCCACCAGAAACAGACTGTTCCCACCACCAGCTGGAAAGCCCGGCACCTTCTCCTTATCCTGGGCAGCTCCCCGAGGCTGTGTGTGTCTAGGGCGCGTCCTCTGCATCCAGCCATCCCTCTTGCCCTCTGCGGGGACCGGGTCAGGATCGCCCTGGTGCTCGTGTGGGATGAGTCCCAGGGGACGCAGAAGCTGCCGTCTGGGCTTTAAGGAGCCCTCTTAGGTAGCAAGCTGCTTCGTCACAGCCTCTTTAATTCTTCGCACTTGAGAAACTAACGTTCTGTCACAAGAACTAGCCAGGAGTTCCACCAGCTCTGAAAGTCCCCCCACAGTGGCCACAAGGCTTCATCCTGAAGACTGTCCTAAGTGGGACAGCGTCCTACAGAGAGAAGGGGAAATGGGGAGAGTCGAGGGGGAAGAGCAGGCCTGGCGGGGAGCAGGCCGTGTCCTCCGTCTGGTCGGAGCCGGCTGGGCGCCAGGATCAGGCTGCAGGCGCTTCCAGACAGTGTCAGCCGGCCTCTTGCCTCAACAGCAGAACAGTGGCTGAAGAGATCGATGTTCTGAATAACAAATACATCATTCACGTGATATTATACATCATATTGAAAAATAGCAAGGGGCCCACTGTGATCCTCCTCCCAGCCGGTCGTTCCCGTCACCAGATGCAGCCCGTGTTTCCAGATCCTCCCAGACACTCTGGGCGAGTGTGGACAGTGGGATGCAGATGTAAAGGTTCTTCCCCGTCTGTGAAACGCTACATGGATCCTTCTATGCAGGCGGCTCTGCGGTTTGCTTCCTTCACTTACCCCTCTATCTGGGAGATGAGAAGGACAGTGGGGCTTGCCACGTTCCGTAGGAAAGAGGGCTGTGCACGTGCAGTGAGTTATGTAGCCTCTTCCTACTGATAAGCACCTGTGTCTCAGGCTCTGCTCTGAAGCATCAGGCAGGTGGATGCCCCCAGACACTGGCTGGTTAGTGCTGACACAAACACGTCTGACGCACGAATGCCCAGTAGCAGGATGGCTGGGGAGGAACTTGTGTTTGTAGTCGTGAGAGATGCTGCCAAAGTGACCCCTCAGAGGCACTGATTTCCTCTGGCCCCGGAAAACTCCCCCGCGGGCCTGGAGCGGGCTCGCTGCCAGTTGGGGACGGGTCTAGACTGAGCCCTGCGAGACAGAGTAGGGTCCACCCCACACTGGTGCATTTTGCTGCTGGCTGAGGGTGCGGAGATCCCTGGGGCTGCTTGTCCTTTATGTGAAGAACTCAGAGGCCCCCGAGGGGCTCCGCCTGAGGGGTCCCTGCGGGTTGTCAGGATGTTGTCAGTGGCACGGGCTTTTGAGCCTAACAGGCGCCCCCCCACCCAGTCCTGCCCTGTTTCCCGCTCTGTTCGGTCTCCAGCACAAACCCCGAATGCAGGGAACACCCCAAAGAAAGCACAGGAAGGGCCTCTGTGTCCAGTGGCCCAGGCGAGAGTTGGGAGCAGGGACCAGGACGTTTCCCACGGGACCGAGGCACCTATGCGGGCTGTCACAGGAGCCAGTGAAGGCCACGCCACCACCCCTGGGGCCTGAGGCCCGCGAGGTGCCCGTCCACAAACAAAGCAGCCCGAGGGCTTCCTTCTCCCATCCGGCACAGGCCCCTGAGAGGCTCGGGCCCGCCCCAGCCTGGCCCGTGGCCTCACTCCTGCTCCGTGGGTATCACCCACAGCCTGGCCTGCCTGCCAGAGCACCTGCATCCCCCCCTGCAGAGCTGCTGGACCATCAGATCTCCAGCTGCTCGGGGTCCCCAGTCTCCATCCTTCCCTCCTCACTCCCCCAGCCCCATCTCCAAACGGGCCTTGCTTCTCAAGACCTTTGGGGTGGAAACTTAGGGGCCTTTGCTCTTAGGGGCCTTTCACGTCGTAAGTCTGGAGACCTTCAAAACCGAGGCGACAGCATTCTACCTCCTGCTTTCACCTGGAGCTCCTCCCAGCTCAGCCTGGGGCCCGGGCGTGGTTCCGTGGGATAAGGGGTCCCTGGAAAATGACACTCCTCCTTCACCTGGTTACTCTCCCAGTGCCTCTGCCTGGGAAATATGGGAGGGAAGGTGCCAACTGAGCTTGAGCCTTGGCCCTGCCCCCTTCTCTTTCTCTGCCTATTGGGGGCCGGCATTGACTAAGCACCTGCCCCTCACCCAGGACAGCTCTGGGCCGATGATGCGTTTGGGGGCCGGGGGAGGGGCAGGGAGCGGGGAGAGAATTCCATACTTTACATTTGGTTTGGTGAGAAGCAGCTCGTTGTTCACTCTGGTAGCGCTCGGTACAGACAAAATGTGCTGAGTTCAGGGGTGGGAGGCTCCTAGGGCCGCAGAGTCAGCAGGAGGGAGATGGGATGAGTTAGGCGGCCGCTCTGCGGGATGTGTGCACAGCGATGGCATGAGAGGAGTCTGGACATGGCACAGAGCAGCACAGAGAAAGAGCCCCAGGCTGGTGGCTCGTAGGCTGACCAGTCTTTTTCAAGGTCAGAAGGAACGAGAGGATGGCCCTTGGACCATGTCTACTGATGTCTTTGCTTTGGCTTGCATGATTAAATATTTTTAAATAACCAATTTAAAATAGTTACCTATAAATGTGAGAGATCAGGCTCAAATCCAGCGTCTGATCTTAGAAAACAAATCAATATCAGGCAACATTATTGTATTCATTTCCTAGAGCTGCCATAACAAAGTACCACCAACTGGGTGGCATAAAACGACAGAAGTTTTTTTCTCTCACGGTTCCAGAGGCTGGAAGTCTGGAACCAAGGTGTCAGCAGGGCCACGCTCTCTCTGAGACTCTGGATCGAATCCCTCCTTGTCTCTTCTAGCTTCTTTTTGCCTCCTTCCAGTTTTGTTGAGAAATAATTGATACGCATCTCTGTATACGTTTAAGGCATACAGCACGATACTTTGATTTGCGTGTATTGTGAAATGATGATCACGGTGGGTCGGCTAACATCCCTCATTTCTATAGAAACAATAAAAAGAAAAGAAAAAGGGAAAGAACTTTTCTCCCTGTGACGAGCGCTCAGGATTTACTTTCTTAACAACTGTCCTGTATATCATATAGCAGTGATATACAGGACAGTCGTCATTTTGTACACGACATCCCTGGTACTTATTTATCTTATAACTGGAAATTTGTACCTTTTGATCACCTTCCTCCACTCTTCTAGCTTCTGATGGTCACCAGCAGCGCTTGGTGTTCCTTGACTCATAGAGACGTCACTCTGATCTCTGCCTCTGTCCTCACATGGCCTTCTCTTCTGTGTGTGTGTGTGTGTGTATGTGTGTGTGTGTGTGTGTGTGTGTGTGTGTGTCTTCTCCTCTTGGGTTAAGAGCCCAAACTACTCCAGTATAATCTCAGCTTGATTCCATCTGCAAAGACCTTATTTCCAAATCAGGTCACATTCATAGGTACCGGAGGTTAAGACTTTTTAACATATCTCTCTGGGGGTGGGAGAACACCATTCAGCTCATAACAATGATCTTATGGTGTAATCAGCTAGGTGTGAGTGAGATAGGCCCCCAGGATTGTGTCAACCCTGTCGAAGTGGATGGCCTCTCACTCTGGCAGAGTCCTGTCCCCAGCCTCCTTGCAGTTCCTTGGTCACCGATCCCCACCCGCTTCCTCCTGGTTCCTGTCCATCTGAGTCTTCACTCTGCAAGGCTCCTTCCTTCCCGAAGCCGCCCCCAGCATGCATCTTCATGGTGATTCTCACTACTGCACACTCACAGTGACCATCTTCACGTGGCACATTTTGACAATAACAGCGCGTCTCGTCTGGTCCTCGGTGTATGTTGTCAGGTGATTTCTGCAGCCCTGACCTTTGTCTCTGCTGAATACTTCATGAACTTCCTTACGTCTCATCTCAAGTAATATGGGTTCCCCTCCACGTGCTCTTGGCACCATGCTTTGTAGGGGAGGAGGGGAGATCCAGGGGTCTTGGACTCAGTGGCAGAAAATAGCATCCGAAGTGTGTGTGTAAGAAGTCTTTCACCCCGACAGCTTCTGAACTGTTGGAGCGGCCCCTTCACAGCAAGGGGACTCTGCCCGCGACTCAAGTCGGATGACGAGGGGATTTCTGGGCCCAGCTGATTCTAAGCGATTAGAAGTCATTGTCTACTAGCTTGTCCCCAGTATTCAGAATTTAATCTTTCATATTCCTGCCATTTGAGATTTTGGGCCCTTGTAGATGGAAGCCCCTCTCCCTGTGGCAGCCAGATCTCTAACGGCCCTGTGTGGTTTCCTCCCCAACTTCAGGCCTCTCTTCCTCTCCATCAACACCCGCCCAAGTGGCCAAGGAGCACACGTTTCCTCTCGAATCCTATAAGCACGAGCCTGAGCGACTGGAAAACCGCATCTATGCCTCCTCTTCCCCTCCGGACACAGGCCAGAGGTTCTGCCCGTCCTCCTTCCAGAGTGCAGCCAGGCCTCCGTCAGCATCGCCAACACACCATTCTCCCTCCAAATCTGTAAGTCTGGGCCTTCTCCTGGGGGCCGGGCCGCCAGCTATGGGAGGGAGGGCAGAGTCTGTATACAGCTGAAGCTGAAGCTGTGCACTGCTGACTGACATTTTTGGTACATTTTATCATGAATCACAAACTGAGAAAAAAATGGCGAGGGCACAGTAGGCAAATGGAAACCAAACGAATGGTATAACATCTGGAACATGATCAGAAAAAGCTTTTTGCTCTTTTAGCTTCTTTTTTTCTTTTTTCTTTTTTGTGGTTCACGGGCCTCTCACTGTTGTGGCCTCTCCCGCTGCGGAGCACAGGCTCCGGACGCGCAGGCCCAGCGGCCACGGCCCACAGGCCCAGCCGCTCCACGGCACGCGGGATCCTCCCGGACCGGGGCACGAACCCGTGTCCCCTGCATCGGCAGGCGGACTCTCAACCACTGCACCACCAGGGAAGCCCTCTTAGCTTCTTTTTAAAAATCAGTCATTAAAAGCTTTCTTTGAATTTATCTTGATTGGGATACTAAAGTAAAAAGTCATAGGCAAAGCCAAAAAATTGTTTTTTGTAGAAATTTTATTCTAGATTTTAAAGATTTAAAGTCTGACATCATTTGACTTGGGAAGCATTCTCGGAAAGGTGAACCTTTCAAAGCAGAGTGGGATGATGAAACAGGTGTCTTTGCATCCTTTGGAGGATTGGGACTCGTTGGTATGGATGGAAGAAGCTGGCTTAGCACCAGCGCTTAAACACTCTGCATTTCAACACCGTGGGCCCTATGTGTGGGGACCACCATCACTGCCCCCTAGTTCGTGTTGGCTACCACAGACCCTCAATATCATTCCTGTGCCCAGCAAGGACACGAGGACCGTATCGCTAGAGCCTATCCAGATGGATGTAACGATTTTATTCAGCTGTGGTGTTAGTTTCCTGCGGCTGCTGTAACAAAGGGGCACAAACTGGGGGGCTTAAAACAACAGGAGGCTATTGTCTCACGGTTCCGGAGGTTGGAAGGGTGCAATCAAGGTTTCGGCAGGACCACGTTCCCTCTGCAATCTCTGAGGGGAGGAGGATATTTCCTGGCCTCTCCCAGCTTCCGGTAGCCCCAGGATTTTCTTGGATTGTGTCAGCATCACTCCACCTCCATCTTCACGTGGCTGTCTTCCCTCTGTCTCTGTTTGTGTCCAGCTTTAAACTCTTATGAGAACACCAGTCATGTTGGATGAGGGCCCAACCTAACTCAGTACGACCGCTTCTTGATGACCTCTGCAAAGACCTGATTTCCAAATAAGGTCGCATTCACAGGTATCAGTGGTCAGGACCTCAGCGTAGCTTTCGGGGGGACACCATCCAGCCATAACAGTTGCTACCTTTGGGGAGAAAGAAGATGTGTTCGTCATACAGAGAACCTACTGTGACTTTTCTCCTTGTTCGTCTGATGATTATTTTATTCAGTGTAAGCTTAGCAGAGTATTGTTTTAAGTGCTGAGGAATAAAATGCAAGGTGTTGTCTCTGCCCTCTAGGGCTTACAGTCTTACTGGGAACAGAATAGCACTCAGATAAAACAGTTAAATAAAAGCGGAAAGTAGGTTGGGTGGGCATCTGGAGTGAAACAAATAGTCCACACTGCAGGGGATGGGAAAGGGAAAATAGTGTGGTCTGACAAGGGCAAGGAAGCCTTGGGTGATTGTAGGGTCTAAATGAGGGGAGGGGAGAGGGGAGGGGAGGGCCCCCTGGAAAAGAAAATTAACCATGGCTTGGGGTGGGAAGGAGTGTGACGTATAGCATAGGGTAGGAGCTGGGGGCGGGGGGCTGTCTCTGGGAGGTAGGCATCTGGCAAAGATTGGGGACAAGAGGACCGCTCACTAGAGACGTGGAGAGGTGCAGGCCTTGACCGCTTAGAGCTAAGGGCCCAGGAGGAAGGTCATCCGTGTTCTTGGGTATGAATGAGAAAAGATCTAGAGGTTTCTGTTCTCCCGGGCATTTAGCAAAGAGACTTGGTCATAGAGATAATAGAACAAATATATCCAAAAAAGGAATCATGCGGCAACCCAAAGATTATCAAAAGCAGGAAGCCACTGCTCCCCTCGGGCTGGAGGGACGTGTTGGCAGCCCATCAGATGGGAGGTGGAACCAGTGTGTCTGCCTGGCAGGAGCTGGAACCGCAGAGGAGAAGCAGCCGCTGGCCAGAGATGCCATGCGAGGCAGAGGGGTAGAAAGTCTGGCGAATCCACTGCTTCCTGCCTTCCACCTTGTGCCAAACCTGCCGAGAGGCCAGTGGGCCAGGAGGTCTGGGACAGAAACCCCGGGGGAGGAGGGAGACCGGAGGAGGGAGTCAAGAGGGAAGCGACTGGTCGAGAGGCATCAAGTCTCAAAACGTCGGCTTCTTCTCATGGACCAGGGCTAACTGACAGGTTAGCCCCGTGTAAGAAGAGACACTGCATGGAAGAGGAGACGGTCATTTCGACTTTAGATCATTTGAAGTGATGGTGCGGACGCAGACACAGGGTTTTTCTGTGTCTGCAGAAGTTCTGTGCTCGGGACAGCCTCTCCCATTTTAAGTGAGAGAGAATCCAGAGGGCGTTCTAGGTCTGCCCGCTGTGCCCTGCCCCCACCCCGATTGTGACTAGAAAGTGATATTCTTAACTGTTCGTACCACACAACTATGAAGCTCTTGGTGAAAGCCAGCGAGCCTGGGCCCTCCCAGGCTTTCTGAGGCGGTTCTGGGGCCAGGGAGGAGGGGTTCTCGGCTGTATCCTGTACTCAGCGGTGGGCACGGACCCTGTGCCCTGGTCAGAGCCTGCGATTCCACAAACAGACTGAGGGAACTGATAGCACCGTGAAGTTTCAACAACCGTCCAGATGTCATGGATGGATAAACATGATGGAAACATACAATGGAATATTATTCAGCCTTGAAAAGGAAAGGAAATCCTGACGGATGCTACAACATGGATGAACCTTGAGGACATTACGCTAAGTGAAATACACCAGTCTTAAAAGGACAGATGTCGTATGATTCCACTTATAGGAGGTCCCTAGAGCCGTCAGATTCATAGAGACAGAAAGCAAAATGATGGTCACCGGGTTCTGGATGGGGAGAAATGGGGAGTCAGTGTTTAATGGGGACAGAGTTTCAGTTTGGGAAGATGAAAAAAGTTCTGAAGATGATGGTGGTGATGGTCGCACAACCATATTAATGTACTTGATGCCACTGAATTGTACTCTTAAAAGTGGTTAAAATGATGAATTTTATGTTAAGCATATTTTACCACAGTTTTTTTTCATAATTTAGGAGGCCACAGTTATTTGGACTCCATATACCTTATTGTTCATGATCATTTTACAAAGTTCACCTTGTACAATCTATTAAGAGGTGCTTCTAGGCAATTTGGTAAAATAAGTGACAAGGGGATGGTAGCTGTCTATTTTAGAAACTATATTCAAAATTTATTCTAAGACCCGTTTAGCAGCACATATGTACAAAACAATTAATGCACTTAGTTTTACCTATATATAGGTTATAAATACAATTTTAGAAAACCCTACACATCTGTATACGGCAGTTAATGATAGTAAATCTCTGTAGTCTCAAAATATATCATTATGCCCATTATACCTTCACATAATACATATTTGATTATTCTAATATACTATTAATGCTTATTGAGCAATCCTTTAATTATTATGAATTAGAGACACTTTTGGTTGTATCCTTTTACCACATTTTTTTTAATGATCCAGTCAATACTGCAATGTTTATATAGTTTGAGCTTCAGAAAATCAAAATCAAATCAGAATCAAAATCAAATCAGAGGGCTTCCCTGGTGGCGTGGTGGTTGGGAGTCCGACTGCCGATGCAGGGTACACGGGTTCGTGCCCCGGTCTGGGAAGATCCCACATGCCGCGGAGCGGCTGGGCCCGTGAGCCGTGGCCGCTGAGCCTGAGCGTCCGGAACCTGTGCTCCGCAACGGGAGAGGCGACAACAGTGAGAGGCCCGCGTACCGCCAAAAAAAAAAAAAAAAAAAAATCAAATCAGAAAATCAAAACCAAAACACTTATGTTTTGAAATGATCTGTTTCAAAATTGGAAGACAGTGTTCCCACTGGCTACAGACATTAAACAGGGGCCTTCATCATGTGTAAGTTTTATCACACAAGGCCTCCAGGAGCTTCTTTGGCATGTTGGTCACAGCCTCCGCAGCTGTAGTTTGGCCCAGGTCTCTGCTTTCAGCAGCCCTTGGCAGCAGGGCTGGGATGGATTCAAGTTCACTTAAGTGTTTCTTTCTAATTGGATTATGTTGACTGTCCTTATGTGCTAAGTTCCTTAAGAGTTTAGCTGATTTCATGCATTCTGTTACTGGCATAATCTTTATAGAGGAATGTGAGCTGCTTAAAGACGTCTATCAGCCTGAAAATATTTAGCTATAATTCATCTCTGCCTTTTGGAATAAAAAGATGCTCTCTGTAAACATTGACCGTGAAGATCACTTTTATAAAAGCAGATCACTTTTATAAAATCACTTTTATATTCACTTTTATAAACTTTGTTCCCATGAATTTTATTCTAAAATTGGAAAGGGGATGAGGGTAATGAATTAGTCTTTAGTAGACAGCACTCATTTTATCATTTATTTACTCAGCAAGTATTTATGAAGCAACCGCTGGGTGCCAGACACTGTGCTCGGAAAGGCTGATGGGACGACAAGTAGGTAAGCGGCTCTTATGAGGCAGGGACAGTGTTTATTTTGTTCGCCAGTTATTAACAGCACATTATGCAGGGGAGGCTTCGGTAAATAGCTGAGGACTCACTGAACAAAGGAAGGAGCTCCTGTCTATTGGGGGGGCCACAAACAGGGAAATAGTCGTAATAGAATATTCGATAGAGCCTGTGTAGTTCTCATGGGAGAAAATCTCCAGCCCAGTGTGAGCACAAACGCCAGTCCCAGGGCTTCCCGGGTGGTGCAGAGGTTGGGGATCCGCCTGCCAACACAGGGTCCATGGGTTCGAGCCCCGAT